CAACTGTGTGTTTTCATGTTTTATAAGCAGAAAATCTATATTTTCTATAGTCTATTGCCAGTTCTCGCATTCAAATAAAATGTCCGCAAGCCTCTCTTGTGGTTGGCTTAAATTATCGTCACAAGTTCTTAATGTTAACTGCAGCACTTCTACACTTTACAGACAGTTTAATGTAGTGTTAAGTACACGTGAAGACACAACTTAGCGCCACACAGCTGCCAGAGTAAGAGCAAATGCATATAATTTCTGCATCTTGAGAGATTTCCACTCTAAATCTATCATGTGTTTAAATATTTCAAACAAATGGCATATAATTGTTCCTATTTTGCAGGTTTAAATTGGTAGGGAAGTGATTCTTTTATTTTGGGGTATAGTTTATCAGCTATTCACAATGTTCTGACAGGGAAAAGTTGAATTTTGGAGTTTTTATGTCACGTAAAAGAAGAAATATGTTGTATCTGTCTTGAGAAAATTGTTAGTCAACTTACACAATTTTGGGGACCTAATTTTCAGGGGGATTTTGGTGTATGAGCAAAAGCTTTAATATCACATCTGTCAGGTAACAGCATCTATATCTGGATCTGTTAAATTTATAGCTTGTTACATTGCAATACACCATCAGGGGAGGTTTCAGGTGTGATAGTTGCCTCAATGAAAAGTTAAAGTAGACCCTTGTCTCATTTTTCTTTCTTCAGACTGCCACAGAATTGGATTTGTCTCTCAGATAATGTTTCATGAATAATTTCAATCTCTGTCTTGCACAATATAGTAGCAGTTGTCCTGCACTTCCATGTCTCAGTGCTCCCAAAACAATCCCTGCACACGTGAACCATCCACCAGCAGCAGCAGCAGCAGCAGCAGCAGCATGTCATCCCTCAGCTCTCCTGTCCAGTCCCTCTCCACCCCCTCCAGTGCGCCCATCCAGCTTTGTCACCGCACATCTTTGCACTCAGCAGGGAGACTCCTGCCACAGTGGACCCTGCACGGCCCCATACCAGCCACTGCATTGATGCGCTGCAGCTGTTTCCAAATTCAGCCCTTGATTTTGATCCTCTTCCCTTTTTTTTACACGCCATCCCCGAGGACACTCCTGACCTGGTGGTCCTTTGTGGCTGTGCAGTAATTTAGTTGTTCCAGGATCAGTCTCAGACTGAGGATGAGAGGCACGATTATTAATAATGTAGACCATTCTGGGACACCTTTTTCTACATTAGGGGTCATTTTGTGCTGAAACATTTGAACTCTCATCGTTAAAAACAAGCATTTAGAGGGGATACAGCAACCTGAGTGTTTGTCTTATTTATTTAGTGTACAGGGACTTGACAATTTACACAACATCCACACAATCTATGACTTCAAAACTGAACAAACAAGCATATTCTACCTATTCTACCTTCTCTCTAAAGATGTTACAGGGAAATAATACACATTTAGTGAAGCTATTTATGTCATTTTGTATGTCTAATAATCAAACTTACATTATTTTAATTGGATATAATGCAGTTTGTAGGTGTGTGTTGTGTCCTCATAATTTATTCTAGCTGCACTCTGCTACAAATCTGAGGAAAATATTGGGCTTTTTACTGTACATTATTACATTTACGTATAAACAAGTACTAATAAATGATCATCTTATAAAATGTGATGCATTGCTATAGATGTAACTGTCCAACAGTAGGAAGCAGATAAAGCTTCAGCAACATTGAAATAGTGTTTGTAAAGCACTAGCAACAAATAAATCAATATAATTTGATGGGATGAGCCATCTGCACTATGACTAATTTTACATTTGACACTTAAAATACATGCATCACCTTGGTAAAAGTAGTATTACCACAGAGATACTTTACAAGTAATCATATGCAATGCAGTATAGAGCTGGGCGATATGTCCTGAAAATTATACCACAATATTTTCCAGTTATATCTCGATACACAATATATATCTCTATGTTTTTAAATCTTCTCGAAAGCATTTCATCAATGCTAGGACTGGGAGACAAAAGATAACCCGACCAAATACCCTCTGTGATGCGACAAAGTTGTAGGGATGACTATTGTTGTTCCCCCCCCCCCCCCCCCCCCCCCCAGAAAATATTAATCATCAATAATGTGGATATAATGACTAAGTTGGTTTGGGGCAAGCGTTAAAACAAAAAGAAAAAGTCTGGTAAGTTGATAATATGACATCACTTTACTATAATACAGCATTGAAAATGAGACATCACAATACAATGATATCCAAAATCTAAGCTGATATATAGTCTTATATCTCGATAACGATATATCTTCATACTGCCCAGCCCTACAATGCAGTCATGCAATCAAAATTATACTTACATAAAAATAAAGCAGATTTTGCAACGAAGTCTAATCAAAAGTACCCAAAGTAAAAGTCCTCATTAAGCAGATTGGCCTATTTTAGAGTCATAAATTGTTGATGTAGTGTTGTAAATATATTGTGTAGCTATATCTTGTATTAATAATCTGAACTGGCAAAGGAACTGCAGCTGAAATGAATTTACTGGTAAAGAGGGAGAAAATACAACTGCATTTAAGTGAGTGATGAGGTTTTAGTTGTTGCAGGGAGTGAATCCACTTTTGCAATTTAATATTTGGGGCTAAACACAAAAACAGTTTCCCTCGCTGTGTAAATTAAGGTGCAGCTCCTCCACATCAAGCAGGTGTCCTGGCTCCCCCCTGTCCTGTCCAACAAGAGAGATGGGGGAGGAAAGAGGTGGTTGGGGGGAAAGCTGTTTTAGGAGGGGAGGAGGGACCTCCAGCACCTCTCTCACCTTTGCAACAGATGAGCCGATCTTCAGTCTCCTCCTCAGTGTGGCAGCTACCTTAATCTGTTTTTAATGACCCTGCGGAGGATCCCCGGAGACTGTGCGCTCTTTGCTCCCAGCTGGTTGGACGGCAGCAGTTTGCACAAGTGTGTGTGTGTGTGTGTGTGATTGTGTGTGTGTGTGTGTGTGTGTGTGTGTGTGTGTGTGTTTGTCCCGCAGCAGGCCTGAGAGTCTGAGTCACTGAGTCATAATGTGACTAGGGATACTTTTTATCCACTTTTTAATTTTTTTTAGCAGGATAAATTCTTATTTCTAATGCGCAAAAGACATGAAAAAAAAAATGCAACTTATCAAGCAAAATCAAACATTTTTATTGTATTTATAATTGTTTTTTGCTTTAAGTTATTTTGTGATTAAAGTTTAAAAGCTCAAATGTTTTATTTTAACGACAGAGTCTTTTTTCTCCTCTTATTCTTCTCCCCTGATAAGCGTTAAACTTTGCTATTTACCCACAAACAAACGCTCCTCTTTGATAGGTTTCCCACCAGCTCTTTGAAATAAAACAATTACCGCATTCTTTGTGCAATAATTGTCAATCATCCACATTAAATTGATAAGCTTTAAATGGACAGAATAATAGCTCAAATTGTTTTACAATGGCACAGCTAAGCAGGATGATTTGCTATTGCTGACATGCCCGCGGCTTTACCAGCTCCAGATAATGCCATAGGTTAATGCATAAATAAGCAAATCAAATCCATGCGTTACCCCAATTCAATTCATTTAATTCCTCTTTAATAAAGAAGCGGCCCCACCCCCCTGTCCCCCCGCCATTTACCTCGGATTTGTGCGATGAATGCTATAAATGTAAATCAATCTAGATGAGAAAGAATCCCATTGAAAGAGCAGAGAAATTTCATCTGGGAAAAGGAGACAAATGTAGGAGGGGCCCGCTCATAAAAAGCAGCTGTTTCACAGTAATCTTTTTTCGTGCCCTGTCACTCACCTTGCCTTTTCACTATCTCCTCAGCTAAAAAAGAAAAAAAATCCGCTATTGTATTTAGTTGCCATATCTTCTTTCCCATTACATCGCCATAATCCATATTCGTCCAGAGAGAGGGAAAAGAGGGAGAGAAACAGAGAGCGCAACTTGCCCATTTTTCGGACAATCCCCTTGTAGTTGTTGGAGTGAAAAGAGGAGTGCATGGATGTCAAATTGCCCTCAAAACACCATGAAAGATTGATTTGCAGCACTTTTCAGGGCCCTGACATTACTTGGAGGGGAGCTGAATAGGAAACCTGTGAGCCGGGGATGGAATAAAGATGTCCTCTCTGCTGGAAAAGAAGGAAAACTGCCCATTTAGCCCCAGTCCATCAAGCCCGAAAAATAGGCAAGAGAGGAAAAAACACAGAGGACTGTGACTATAGAGAAGAAAAGGGCCGTATATACTCATCTAAACGTTGTCACAATACCGAGGGGGCTCCGAACATCCATGAATATTAAACCGCTTACCTCAACAAGGGCTTGAAAAAGTGGACCACGTCAAAGCAGCTTTGCATTTTTTGCATGCGAACAATGCTGCAAGAAAAAAGAAAACTCAACGTCGAGCTTGTTTCAATTCTTGTTATTCCCGCGCTAACTCCTCACAAAAAAAATAATAATATTATTACCACCGCATGAATACCAAATGCATGAGAAAAAAATGGGAGCGCAACTCCCAGACTCAATGACCCACTTCTGCACACAGAAAAATATCACTTAAAACACATAAAATATATTTATTCTTATTTTTTCACACTCTGAAACTCTTGCATCAATTCAAGTTATGCGTGATTTTTAAATAAAAATTCTAAAATCTTCTACAGAGGGCAGTCTGTTAATTATTTGCGCTACACTCATGCGCTTTTACGCACGTTAAACTTTAATTTCTTAAGGTTTCGATGTTAAAAATACCAGAATGTGTGCTTATTGTCATTTACCCAGCATTTGCAGCTTTGCACTAACATGTTGCATTAATTTAAAGTCCACTTTTACGCGCAGATAAAGTGTAAAATAAAGTTTTGGCCACTCTTAGTCTTTGTGCTGTGCGTTAATGTCTGCGCTGGTGTGTTGCGGTGCAGCGGGCAGGTCCACACGGTGAGGGGTGTGTCATTAATAAGTAATTAGACAGGGGTCACTCTAGCCACTTATATAAAGAGACCCTCACAGCCAGGCAGGGCAGCTTTACGCACATACAGTTTGGAGCAGAAGGACGCACTAAGGAGCAGCTCTGGGTGTCCGCTTCTATTTCTTCTCCTTGTCTTTTTTTATCGCTCCTCTTTAGCTGCAACGCTGTTATCGTTTTAGGGTTTTCTTTTTTTTTATTTGCAACATGGGCTCCGTGCTACCCGCAGACGCTTTGGCTCTCAAGTCTGGATTTAAGTGTCCGAGCCGCTCGCTGTCAGACGTGATCACCTCGGACATCCTGCACAGCTTCTTGTACGGCAGGTGGAGGAACGTGCTGGGTGAACACCTGGCGGAGGAGCGGCAGAGCGGCAGCGGCAGCAGCGGCAGCCCCAAGACCGCCTTCACCGCCGAGGTGCTGGCTCAGTCCTTCGCCGGAGGTAGGCTGACATGCTGGGTTATTATGGGAATATTTTAATTGAATTAAATCCTGATTGTTTTGTCATGTTGAAGTGCATGTTTGGAAGCAGTGCAAGTTTGCAGATGTGATTTTTACGCGTTTTATTTAAGTTAAAATTCATTTTTAATGGAGATAAATATCATAATTTCGTAGTTATGATTAAATAAATATTGTTTATATTTCCTGCAAATGTGTGTCACTGAAATCCAGGAGGATTTTTTTTATTATTTTACCACTGACAGCTAAATTTGGGCTTTTTTCTCCAGTACAACCATCACTAGTAATTTCAAAAAGATCCCACATCCTGCACAAACAACTAAAAAACTTTCTGTCCCAAACTTTCTTTCACTAACTTGTTGCTTTCTTTGCATTTTCCCTCATTTTGCTGCTTTTATTTCGACCCATTTAACGCGTTAACCCTTTCAGAGCTCCGGGACCTCGCGCTCAGAGCCTTGTTAGGCGTGTAACTGCCGCTGATTGAAAGACGCAGGGCATTAAATTCATTTGGTTAACTTTGTGCTTGACCTGGGAAAGTTTCCACTTAAACCTCGAGGAGAGAAAGGTTTCCTTTCTTTGAGATGTCCCGGGTTTTTATCCCGCATTCATCAATCTCCGGACAGTCTCTTTTCCTCTCTTGGCAGCTATGGGGCTCCGGAGCTTTTCTCTTTCTCTCTCTTTAAAAGATTTGCTGTTCCTCGCATAATGCACCGTGAAGGCTAAATCTAATGCTATTCATTGCATGTCAACCATCTAATCGCCTTTCCATTTTTTTGTTGCCGAAATTCCTGAGTCTTTTAAACAAGTCCTCGTTTCATTCAGCGCAAATTTATTGCTACAAAGTTCTTAAAAGGATAATGAATTTGGAATTAGCCGTTTCTTTTCCAGTAAACTTTAATGAATATCACATCTGAAGCATGACAAATTGCTGGACCCTGGGCAATAGAGCACCATTTAACCCCTATTGGGCCCGGGTTTTTTTTCACAGCCTAAAAAAAAATCTTTGATTTTGACATTAAAGAAGCGCACGATATTTTTTTTCTTTTTCCCCCTTTCTGATGCGGATGAAAATGCTTTCCGAGGGGGTTTCTCTGCGCAACAAAAACTTTCAATTCAACCAGATAATCGAATTAAACGGAGGATAAGGTGTAGCTTAATATTTCGTGACTAAAATAAGATCCAGTCCATTTGCTGCTTTCAGGACTTCTCCAGCAATCCTGTTTCATGAGACGCTTTGGCATCCACTCACCCTGCTGAACAACAGGGTCTCTGCTTCAGCTGAATTACATTTTTCTGCACTTTTACTCGCGCACATTTTCAGAAATAGGCCTGTATTTCAAGACAGTGATGCACAGTCTCTATTTTTACTCAGTTTGAATCCATCTCACAATCCTTTTTTTTATATTTGCAGAGGTGCAGAAGCTGTCCAGCCTGGTGCTGCCCAGTGAGGTGATCATCGCGCAGAGCTCCATCCCTGGAGAGGGCCTGGGCATCTTCTCAAAGACCTGGATCAAAGCAGGAACCGAGATGGGGCCTTTCACAGGGAGAGTCCTGTCCCCTGAACACGTGGACCTGCTCAAGAATAACAACCTCATGTGGGAGGTGAGCTAAAGTTCCCAATTCAAGTTTCTTATGCCATGATGTGCAGCCCATGAGACCCAAAGCATACCCAGAGCCTGTGTAATTATTTCCTTATAATATTGACGTGGTTGTTGTGTGCGCTCAGGTGTTCAATGAAGACGGCACGGTGCGCTACTTCATCGATGCCAGCCAGGAGGACCAGCGCAGTTGGATGACTTATATAAAGTGCGCCCGGAATGAGCAGGAGCAAAACCTGGAGGTGGTGCAGATCGGCAGCAGTATCTTCTACAAGGCGGTGGAGGTGAGAATTAACAACTTGTGAGAATATATCAGCCTGTAAACGTGGACTGGGGCCTGAGGAGGCTTGATTGGATTTTATTTGCGACTACCAACAGTGTAAATTCCCTTTAGAGCGGCGCCACCTGCTGGCCAAAATGAGAATGAGTATGTATTTCAACTAAGTAATCAAAGGCGTAGATTTCAAGGGGGACGCAGGAGACACATTCCCCTCAATATTTAGAACATGTGCATTGTCTCCCCCTATAAAACATGACAGATGCACAAAATTTAAGACCTTTACACCATAAAGTGATGAAGAAAATGCACAAATTCTTGTGTAAATATCACCAGAAAGCAAGAAATCAAGTGTTAGAAGCTCAAAGTTTTCTGGCGGAGGACCCTCACACCTCCGCCATTTCATATGTGTCATTGTCTCTATGCCCTTGTATGTAGTTGATGTTCAGATTGCACCAGTCACAGAGCAGCAAACCGAAATCACATATTGATTGTCTGACCTTTGCCCTGTGAATCCTTCCCCAGACTATCCCGCCAGACCAGGAGCTTCTTGTCTGGTATGGAAACACCCACAACACATTCCTGGGAATCCCTGGAGTTCCGGGAACAGATGAGGAACACATAAAGAAAACCAGAAATGGTGAGTCAATATGCAGATCAATACATCAGGGTCATTACAGCCTGTTGTATCTGTCTGTGGGTGCCACGGCTGTAGTGAGTCCCATTAAAGCAAAACAGCTTGATCGTTAGTTTAAATAAAACCTACAGATAAACCTCAGCAGCAGTACCCATGTGAGACACAATTATACTCATCTCCTTCCTCTGTGTCCTCTCCCAGATGACTCCCACCCCTGTGAGGGCTCTTCCTCTTGCTCCCCACCCGCCCCCGCCACCACAGCCGGTCGGATGCGCTGCGTCATCTGCCACCGCGGCTTCAACTCCCGCAGCAACCTGCGCTCCCACATGCGCATCCACACTCTGGACAAGCCCTTCGTGTGCCGCTTCTGCAACCGCCGCTTCAGCCAGTCGTCCACGCTGCGAAACCACGTCCGGCTGCACACCGGCGAGCGGCCCTACAAGTGTCACGTGTGTCAGAGCGCGTACTCGCAGCTAGCGGGCCTGAGGGCGCACCAGAAGAGCGCGCGGCACAAACCCGTGGCGCACGCCACCGACGTGCCATCCCAAGTGTCCCCCCCTCCCCCACAGATGACCGCCATGCCCCACCAGCACCAGATGCCGCTGGTGCACCACATCCCCACCATGGTGCTATGATGACAGAGACACGGAGGGACAGTCACACAGAACAACGTTGCACTTTAGCTGTAGTGGAGACGCATAGGAGATCCTGAGGAGACAGTAAAGCATCTCACAAAGACATTTGAATATTGCCTTATTTGTATTGTTTGTTTTTTGGTTATCACGTGATCAATATTCCAACAGAGAGATGTTTTAATGATTGTCTGTATTTTGGAAAGCTGAAATATGATGAAGATTTTACAAATGAGTTGTTATTCTCTGTGTAATCTTTAAACAAATGTCATATATCACCACATATGTGAGACAGAACAGATATTTTCTACATTTTTTACACCGTGTTTATTATCCATCACATCCTCACCAGCTCAGGTGACAACAACTGTCAGAGATTTGTACAGTAAGTAGAAACTAAACGGGACGTGGCCTCCAGTGTACATTGTTTCAGCTGCATCCTCCCACACTGTAAACTGAAAATGTCACTTTAACCTTGCACAGACTGTATACTGTTGTGTAACTGTAAAATTGTATTGTATGCTACTGTACATGTGAATGTAAATACATTTGTGCTTTCTTCTATTCTAAATAAATATGATATGATATTACATATGATGCTCATTATTGTATGAAGTCACCTGTTGCTGCTTTAAAGACTGCCGTATGCCAAATTATGAACTGTGAGCATATAGCCCACTGTCTTCTCTTCTCGTTGACTAAGACTTTTATCCAGTTCTACAGTATAATCTAGTCTATTTACTTAACTGTACTCCCAAACAAAAAAGAGATTTGATTGATGTTTTTTTAAATGACAGATAAATTACCAAGCTTGAAATAAAATTAGAAAACCCACAGAAAAACACACACTTTGCCAAGGTCCTTGCAAATATTAGTGGTTTGTTTTTGTTGATCAGATCAGTAGAGTGTCAGATTTTGGAGGTGAAATCCAAAGAGAAAGTCTTGTACTAACTCTGGAAACCCAGAATACCAGTGCACATTAGGCAAGTGGTTGGGTAAAACACTGCAGCACCAGCTCAGCGCCGCAGGTGTGAATGTGTTTTTCTGTCTATGTGTATATGTGTTAGACTTGTTATAGACTGGCATCTTGTCCAGGGTGTATCTGACCTCCCCTCTGAGGTGGTTTATCCCACAGGCAGTTGGCTTGTTTAATGTAATTCTGTGTATGTTTATCATTTGAAGTATTCATACTGTCAGCATTCTTGTTATGTTGTGTGTGGGTGTAGATGTTTAAATGAATTGCCACATTTATGGACAATAAAATGTATTTTATAACATCTTAATGAAGAAAAGTTAAAGGTAGTTTTTCATAGTTAGTAGCTAACATAACGGACAAGTATTTTATGTATGAGGAGGAATTTTTAAAAATGTGTTTTTACCTACACCAAGGACACTGAACTTGCTTTGTCCCGGGGCCACTTTTGCACAACGACAGGAAGCCAGGCCAGTTAATAAACAGTCATTAATAATATTTATCAGTGTATATATATTAAATCAATTGCCTGTTTTCCATCTTTCAACATTTGCCATTGTCACCCATCCAGTTGCAAGGGGGCCTGCTGTAATGATTTAGTACAAAACTGGGGCGCAAACACAAAACACCAAGAGCAGTTTATCGAATCCAAATCTTTACATAGGAGGTCAGGGGTCTGTGAAGGCAGAAAAATCCATTCAGACAACAAGCAAAGTCCATAAATCCATTCAGAGTCAATCCCCCGACACTTTGTTTTGATTAACAAGTTCTGTTTTGGTACTTTTTATGCACTGTGACACCTTATTTATATTCAAAGCACCAAAAAAAATGTAATCATTGCATTTTCATTGTGACTAGGAGAATAGTTGGCAGACTACCTGACACCCTGTCATGGGCCAGATTACTCTATTTGTGCACTGAACTGCACGGCTGACCATCTATAGGTTACTGTGTACTCCCATTTAGTAATGAAGAGTTCCTCATGATAAGCTAGGAAGTAAGAACTTGTTGTTGGGATGGCAGTTTAACTACATTGACAACTACATGGCTTAACTACTTTGGGTCATGTAGTTATTATAGTTAGTTACATAGTCATATTGTCATGTATTTTTTGCTAGGCCAGTACAATGTGGCACAATGCCACAGCTCATTGGCCACGGTTATCATTTAATGGCAATCACCTGCTATTTGCCTAAAATCTCCTCTGGTTTGCAGCTAAGATGTCTGCAAATGAATCCTATGAATTTAAGTTTTTCCTAATTCAACCCAACACCTGCTCCCTATCCTTAAAACACATCACCCTACCAAGGTGAGGATTGGCTTGCCCTGGTCCCTAAATCAAACACAACTTCATTTTACTAGTGTCAGTTCAGTTATGCTTCCATGTAACAACAGGATAGTCCCGACTCAGATCATGATTATTTTCCTGCGATGTAGTTTAACCACTGTTTGAGAATATATATACTTTGACAGGACTAGTTAAGATGCAGGTGAACTACTTTTTAATGTGAAGTAACTGTTAGTTACTACAGTTTTAGTGCAGTTTTCCCAGCACTGATCATTATTTAAAATTATTTCTAGTGATAAATAACCAGTTTTCTCTTTCTGCAGTCAGCAGGTAAGCTGCAGTTATTTCTTTCTCCACATGATGGCGCCAGATACCCAGAAAAAGACAGTCTCATGATAGAAAGTGGGCCTCTCCTGGAGAAACAGTGTAATGACACTTTAATGACACATAACCACCTAATTTAAACAACCATTTATTTTATTAAGTTAGTCAATTTACTGCTGCACTTGTCGGCTGTCAGACATTATCCAGCTCCCCAACAAGGAGTTTTCAGACAAGTCGTCATTATAACAAGTACAGAGCAACATAGATCAACAAGCTGCAGGTGCATAAGCTTGAGAGGTAAATAAGGCAGAGGGAAAATGTGGGCATCTCTTCAACCCAGAGGGATTAGAGAGGGTTTTGACTCTGTGTTTTTCCATCACTAAAGACTGTCCACACCTTCTGCCCTGCACAGTGAAGAAAAACAAGATAGTTTAGTCATCAGAACATCACATTATTTCAAAGTAGCATTTCATCTAAGTGAGGAGCACCTTTGCCCTGGTTTTGTCATCCTTCTGCCCCACTCCTCTGACAGCAGCACCAGCAACAGACTACCCAGGCAGCAGCATTGCGCAGAACTGTAGAAAGATAAAATGAAACAGACATTGATTCTTCTTTTATCTGTTTGTAGTATCAGCCATGCTGCTGCTGAGGTAATGATCTGGCAGGTAACCTGATCCCACCCCTATCAGGTTTAACTCCCTCCATCTTACACACAGTTGTACTATGTATTTTAATGTTATAACTCTTTACTTTAACATACACTCACAATGTTTCTCACCAGAGAGAAAAGAAAAAGGCTGTCAGTGGCATAAAAAAGCTATTTATCAGAATAACATCTACATTATGAAACCTTTTCACTATGACAACAATCTATTTAAACACTTGCTCTAATTGTTTGAGAAAATCTGAATACTTACAGGAGATTAACAGTCACAGCATCACTCCACTTTAATGTCTTCTCTTCTCAGTTAGTCACCTGTTCCCATGTGGTCAGCGTAATGATATTTGTTCACCGACACTACACAACAATGACACAGCACATCTTCAGTTACAGAGACCAGCAGAACACTGACTGATGTCATATCACCACACAGGTACAGGAGATGGTGTAGTATTACTGTTGGGTGTTTTTTCCATTGCATGTTAACTTTAAAGACATAAAAAAGCAAACAAAAAGAAAAAAATTCACTTACAGTAGTTAAAATTAAAAAAAACGTGTACATGTATGTATGATAAGAAATCTTTTCAAACAATGTTTATAGATCAAAAACATCATAAATAACCATGTGCCCATTATGAGCATTTGGTTGTAATAACTGCAATCAAGGTGCAGTAACAAAATGACTGCATTATTTTTATGCACACATTAAAACCTCAGTTTCTTCTTCTCGATTTACAATCTTAATCATCTCATCATAAAGTTGAGATCTGAATGAGGTTATAACAAATAAAGGAAACAAAGGTTTTAACATTTTGTTCCCATACATTTAATAAATAAGATGTTGTGCAAAGATTTTAATGAGGAAAGGTTACCAAAATGACCCATCATTATCATCATCATCATCATCTGTGAGTGTGTGTTTTAGTATTTAGTATCATTTAAGTGAAGAAAAAACAGTTCTCGAGGGGAAAAAAAACAGTGACTATGCTTCACACTTCATAAACCATGTCAGTAAGTCTGGTTTCTGCTCAGCTGTACGAAATCAAACATATTAAATGAATTCTGTATAGGGGCATACTTGTAATATAGAATTAAATGGTGTTTCGGTGGTTTCGGTAATTAAACTCTGACAGCATTGTTTTTGGATATACAAAGATATAAAAATATAATAGGATAATCTATCCCCTTCTTTTTTCTTTCTTTCTTTCTTTCTTTCTTTCTTTTTTTTTGTTTTCTTAATAGCCTGTTGTGAACCTTTGCACATTGCCCTGGACAGTGGTCCCAAACCTTTTTCCTGAAAATATCCCTTTTCCATCAGTGATGACTGACGACCCCTGACTACGTGACATTTTATGCATAACAGTAACAGTAAAGGATAACTGATAAACTGTACAATTAATACAAACAGTGAATTCATTAACCCCAAGAAGTTTATGTAAAATCAATGATTTTGATTACTTCTGCGCAGAATATGTCCTGTGAATACTGCATCAGAGGTGCCAGTTTTTAACAAACATATATACATCTTTTATAGGCTTATTTTCTGACAAATCCTATGTTTTCTTCTCCCTGATACTCGGCCACTGATCCATCAGCTCTCTGGTTGTTTTACATTTTGAGTGATACCTTTTTAATGAAGGACAAGGCTTTTCAGCAGAGAGTGAAGGCTCCTCGGTAGCTGTGATCAGGTCCTCACCAGGCCCTTGTCCTGTGAGATTTAGAAAAGTAATCTAAGCTTCTTTTTTTTTTTTTTTAAAGTTTCCTACACCACTTGAAATCAAGAAGGCCTTGTGACCCCTGTTAAGCTATGGCGACCTTATGGCGACCTCCAGGTTAGAAACCAGTCACCTAGAATATATTTGTACCCATTCCTGCCCAGCTGTTTTAACTTATAGCCTATTCTTTTTTATTGGATTTTTTTCCACACATTTTTTTTCATTTGTATGTTTTCCCTAATATTTATGAGTTCTGTCTGTGCAGCACAACACAAAATCAAACTCCTTGTAGTCTATGTGAAAACCTAGTTGACAATAAAACCGGATTCAGATTGAGAAAGAAAAGAGAGAAAAGACAAGACAAGAAAGAAGCTGGCTAATTATGACAAAACATATTTTTCACCACGTGTAGATACTGAATCGATTGCGTTGGCCTTGCCGGAGCGGTTGCTCTGTGATTTGTTGGTCGAGCCTGATCTGCTCACCGCCGGATTGTTGTCATTTTTGTAGCTAGCCTACAGCGCTAGCCAGCCGTTTGCTTTTCTCTCCAACATACTTTGATCCAGCAGGTGGGTCACAGTTTATGTCAACACATTTGTACTGTCTGAGCCAAGCTGATGAACTCCTGCAACGAAAGCATTCGTTTATAAAAGCCGCCGCTTGTTGTCAGAAACAAATACCGTGGCTAAAAGTTAAAAACAAATGTCGGCTAACAGCTAGCTGGCTGGTTAATAAGTTAGCTAGCTTAACGTTAGCTCGATAGACATTTTCGGCTAGCTTAGCTTTACATTAAGCTGTTAACTAATTTTGCGTGGTAAAACACACACAAACGTGTGCTAGTTATCAGATGTTTATCTAGTTAATGTTTCATGGGTCAGGAGGAAGGTTAGACTGTCTGCTTTTGGTGTAAACACAGTAACTTGTTGGGAGTTAAACGCACAGCGACAAAAATGTCCATGTTAGGTCATCTTCACTCGATGGGTTGGCTCTTTAAAGAAGAGATGCATTGATTTACTGAGAGTTAGATAACAGTCCTGGTAATGTATTTTATAGTTTAGTTTGAATGACATCCTTAATGTTATTCCCTTGTTTTCGTTTGCAGTTGAAGAAATGCCACGCTAACATGGCTCTGTGCCTATACCACAAACCCCTCCTTCATACAGCCCTTTGCTTTGACAGCTCTGAGAAAAATGTAGAGCCATTTAACTCAGTGGCCATTATGGAGACGTACTCGTGGATGCACTGACATGCCAAACACAATGATATTAGCTTAGTTTAATGAGCTGCTCTGACAGCAGGAGACCTGTATGGCTGATTACAGCTCAGTGCTGTTTGTGCTGTGTAACAGCTGTCAGGCTCAAATTAGTGCCGTGAAAGGTGGGGCCTTGAGTTATTTATGGATATAGAGGGTAAAATAATATGACTGATTTCAAGGTTTTTTCTTTCTAGGTTAGAATATAGCTTAGATGGACTATGTTACTTTTTATGAGCGTTTTTACTGTTTTTTGGCAGTGTATAGAATAAAAGACTTATTAATTATATAAGACAACTGCAGCCCCAGTATGTAGCATAGCATATTAAATTTGTCATGTGATGATCATCATCTGTTGCCTGAAATACACTTCTGTGTACTTAATTTGACTGCACTCACATTTAAAGTTAGTCTCAAGTCAATATGTTTACAGTGTCAGTATAAAAGTAAAAAATGTGTACAAAAGGTACAGGACAGCACCCCCATTCATACTTCTGAGGGTTGAGCGTGTTTGTTTGGACTTCTGATTACAGTGTCAGTATAAAATTTTACAAAATAAGGGAAATTAAGCATTGAGGGTTTGCCACTTTTTTCTACTCTGAGAGGTGATTTATATTTTTGAGGTTGAGCACAGGTCTGCATTATTGTCTTTGTCTCTCCGCCAGATTAAGTACTCTCCTAAGGCGGGTGTTCATGAATGTTTGCAACCTGTTTGATGTGTGTTTTTCTCCATGTCTCTGATTGATTCAGCAGTCTGTGAGTCCAAATTTGTATTTGACTAGAGTTGAAACATTAATTGATAATGCCATAATTAAAATAATCATACATAATGTCTTTGACACAGTGGTGAAAATGTCTCGATCCTTTCCTAAGTAGCGAGCAACACATCATTTGGCCAGTTACCACAAACAAATGCTGTGCAGTTAAGAACTTTATTTTATATTTTAGCAGAGATCCCAAAGGTTTTTTTTTTAAGATATGAAATATTTTTTGGGGGGATATGTGTATAAAATGATTCACAAACATCGAGATCATTTTCCATTTGATTGAATGGTGCAGCAATCAAAACATGGAGTCTTCGGTTTGTCTTTTTCACATCATATCACCGCAATTAAAAGTTGAAACAAGCCAAAATGGAACAAGATGAAATAAGATGTCTTTAACAACCTTAAAGCTGCTTTAGGGGAAACAAAAAGGGGAAACTGTATTGTTAGGGGTTGAAGTTGCTTTCACATAACATCACACCCATATATTTGTGATGTGTGTGCGTGTTGCACATAGGATGTTAGGATGGAGTGTGGCCCAGTTCTGCCGGACAGCCTGGTGTTGGAGATCTTCCTGCGTCTGCCCCATGATGCCGTGCTGAGAGCTGGTCTGACCTGCAGACAGTGGCTGGCTGTCTCCAGAGATGAGTTCCTTTGGAGGGAGCTGTTCTACAGCTACTACCGCATACCGCGCTCTGTACCCCGACACCCAGGTCATTAGTCATACGTTTAACAGAATAAATCAAAGTCACTTTCACTTGTATAAAAAACACACTGCTTACCGCTTTGTGATTGTCCTTTGTGCAGCGTCGGTGTCATGGTACAGGGAGTTCAGGCGTCTGTTTGACTGCATCCCATGTGTGGAGGTTCAGACGCTGAGAGAGCACACCGACCAAGTCCTCCACCTGGCTTTCTCCCACAGGGGTCATCGCTTCTCCTCCTGCTCCAAAGACTGCACTGTTAAGGTAGGGATTTAAAGGTTATTGAGGTTATTTTCATCCCCAATGAGTACACGCTTCAGGGTCAAAACAAGCCCCAACAGGTGAACCTAAAACGCAGGTTAAAACGGCATGTCAGCACAGTGCCACTCATGCTGCAGTCGTGTGTGTGTTGAAATATCTGATTGAGAAACTCTGACGACATATCTGTGTTGTTATTCACGTTATCCAAGTGAGAATAATGAAGATTTGATGTGAGTCTGGATTTTTGTTTGTCTGTGCAGCAGTGGTCAGATTGTTTTCTTCTCTAATTCCTCAAATGTGTGACCACCAGCTGTTGTTGTCCTCCTCATCCTCTCACTCCTTTTCAAACCTTTTGTCTGGCTTCTTGTGTGCAGCTATGGGACACGGAGCAGCTAGATGGTAATATCTCGCTGGTGCACAGCTCCAGCATGCGGCAGTTTAATTGGGGCTACACCCAGTTCTCCCAATTTAATGCTGATGACACCCTGCTGCTTGTGTCTGGTGTCTACCTGGGTCCGCACCACTCCTCATCTGGGGAAATCGCTGTCATCAGTCTGGGTAGGAACCAAAAAAATAAAAGCATGCAACAGTCAGCATTTCCAGTTGATGTTCCTTAAAGTTATTTTTAGTTTTCACAAAAATAACTCCCCCATTCTCCCTGTTTCTCAACACACTATAGAGAATTACTCGCTGTTGTC